ATGTGCTATCCCCCTTCCAAGCCAGACAATGGGCCTGTGGCCTTACCAACAATGTGTGACTGCAGAAGCGCTGGCTAGAGCCCATCTCCAAATTGGATTGGGAAGAGTTGGATCCTGTCGCTTTGTTTTTTATTCTAGTGTTTGTATCCTTTTCATGCAGCTTTCCTTATGACTGGCTTTTATTTGGCCCCCAAGCCTAACATTTGGAACTTCTATTTGTTGTTTTTTTTTTCCATCATCTCGGAAAATAATGTTGATTCTTCCAGTAGGCATCTTTCTTTTGTGTTTTGTTTCATTTTCTATTCTATATGAGTTCTTATCCAGTAGCTCATTGAAACAACTGAAGCAATTAAAGCAACCGAATAACTAACATCTGGTATGTGTTTGCTTACTCTCTTATACTCTCTCCAGGGCAAGACGTGTGTGCTTTGGAATGGTTAGCAGTTTATTATGCTATATATGAATACTTGTTGTTTATAGAAGATCAAAGAGGTTAATGTTGCACTTCAAGTGGAGAGTTGCAAAGTTTGTGGTAGCTCTGTGTTCTTCGGATGTTCATGACGCAGGCTTTGGCACTCCAGGAAAGCATCGTTTCCAGCTAAGCACAGTTTTACCCTTGAGTAAAAAAGTCAGTTGAGTGAGTAAAGGGTTCCCTTGAGTAGAGAGCATGTTGTGCCGAGACAGAAGTTGCCATCTGTGGTCTTTGCCCTGTGGCTGGAGTCACTTGTGTAAATGCCACAAATTGTTCTGATGGTGCCTGGCACAACAGTGTCCTGGTCCATGTCTCAGGGATCAAGGTCCCTGCAAGTCAAACAAGAAATTCTTCGGATCATGAAGCTCCTCTTGACATAGTTATATGAAACTTTCCTGTATGTTCTTGTCTTAATCTAAAAATTGCTTAATAGTAGTATTATAGTAGGTTCTGAATCATGGCCTTCCTAAGCAAGATCCTTTTTCTCTCTGAATCTTGCACAAATTATGACTACAGTGCCCTCAAAACAAAGCAGTAAATTGTTGCTCACTGAATTTATTATACAGAGCAATTTCAGGGAGGCACCATCATGAATATCATCTGCATAATCAATATGGTTTTATATTGCTGTCTCAACAGTAAGTCATCGTGTAGTGTACTAAGGATTTGCTGAGCACTAAGTTCTTGCTTTAGTTATTTCTGAGTAAAACTTCCTTTGTTTTTGTTATGGTCAGAAACACCCCTAGTTAATATGAGATCTTGCCTGTTTTTTATATTAGCTGACATTGCTAGAGCTCTCATCTCAATAAATTGCTGAAAGTGAAGCAGAGATTTTACTTAATGAAATTAATCCATAAATAGAGACAGTTTGGTTTTGAATATACTTTGACCTCCAGTCACCCCAGTCCTTCAGATTGATTTTTTTTCTTTTTTTAATTTATAGTGTTGTGAAAACAGAGCTTGGCTCTAGATCATAAGTTAAACGTGGTACTGTTTATCAGCTGCGTCCTGCTGCCCTTCAGTAGAGATCATTGCTTTTATTTTATGTCTTAATCATTCCTAAAAGCTGAGCCTTGGAAATGCCTGGAGCAACTGTGTCTTACAAGCATTCTTTTAGCTAGTAAATACCTGTCTTCAAACTAAGGTGTAAAATCACTTCTATGTACACAGTTTATCATGTCATAAAAGCTGACTGTTCTCTGTCTTGCTTAGTTAAAAAGCAGTATGTCTCATGTAGTGCTTTCCCCACCCCCCTATGTCTTTACAGAACAAGAACTTTGTTTTGATTGTATGGTAGGCTATGTACACAGTAAAATTATGTGTTTCAAAAAAAAAAAAATGTTTCAAAAGTGATTTGGATTTAAGATAAGTTGTTTAAAGGAGGTTGTAGTGTAGCTAGAAAAAGAAATGCTTTGTCCCATTTTTCAAAATAACATTTTTCTTTCACTGTATAAATAAAGCTCCCTCTGGATAGATGTCTGTTTTTGCAGAATTAATTACCAGAACAAATATGTAGTTTCAGCATCTGGTTGTTCATGCGTTATACGTGTCAGTGGTTGTTATACACAGGGAGATTACTATGAGATTTTCAGTAGCTTTGGTTGGAATGAGTCCCATGAAGAAGCAGAAGTAGAATACGTGACGTTTATAGCATCAGACTCTGTGTTCCTACTTGTATGAAGGACTATCAAAAAGTAATACAAGGAAAATAGTAAGAGAGAACAGCACGGAGTAGGTCTCTAGTGATGTTTGCGACAGACCTAAAAAAACCCTTGCATGTGGGGAAGTTAAAGGTGAAGTGAGTGAGCCATGGCTCAGAAAGTCCTTTGTGACCTCCACCTAAACAGAAAAATGGATCTGTGTTAAAACCTGATGTGCTTTAACTTGCTCCCTGAAACCCTGCCACCATGAGCTCCCAGTGATCTATTTCTCTGTTCTCACCCTGTCTGGAAGGCTCTGGAGTGTCAAGAAGGTAACAGAAGTCCTTTCCTTCATGGCAGTTGCAAGTTGCTCCTCTAAACAGTAGTTCTCTCCATCACAGAGAAAATAAATCATTACATTTTATAGATACTAGGAAAGTCTCAGCTGGAGGGATTCAGCTTCTGGCTGATAAACTCTTCAGCTCTCTGGGCAGTTTGGTGCTTTCCCTCCGAGCATGGATCTGCATCTGCATTTCCTTCTCCTCTCTTTGGCATTTAATCAGAAGTTTGAACCCAGTTTTTAAGGCTTTTCCCATTTCCATCTTTTGCTATAATCAACAAGTGACAAGGACAAAATTGTGCATGAGGGTTGACCCTACTGTGAAGCAGGATGGGGTTGTCTCCCTTTAGGTCTTGCTGCAGTAAAAGGAGGTTGGGAGCTCTGCAGCAGAGTGTGTCACTGCAGGGCAAGCGGCCTCGCTGGATCCTTCCATTTGGGACAATAGACTTGGGATCAATAGACGGAAAATGGCTCTATGTCTGGGATGCAACCAGTTCAGTCAGTTTGTTTTAAAAATGATGAGGAAGTCAGTTCTGGATTAGATAGAAGTGCCTAAGAAGTTTCATACTGAGTGAGTTACTTTGGGTGACTGATGGAGCTGTAGCTAGAAGTGGTGGAGATGCAGACTTACCTCTCTTCAGGGTATTCACAGTTGATTCATATCAAGAGGTTAGTTCATATCAGTCAAGTCTTCCCTTCTCCACAAGACCCTATGGCTCTAGTCTTTTATTTGAAGCTACAGAAAGAAAACACGTGCTATCTTTACAAATTCAGGGAGTGGGGCTATATGGCTCAAAAGAACTAGACCATTAATGCAAATGCCTGAGGCTGAATGAAAACGGAATTGTTCTAGCTGACAGTAAATAAAGATTGTGGAGTGGGGTTATTTTGTTCTTTTGCCTCTTACTTGTTCTGGTGTTGTAAAGTGGGGCACACCCTTGAGGCCCAGTATCCCAACCATCCACTCTGGCGCTTACTAAAGTAGTCACTTACAGTGACTCCTGTTTGAGGAAAATGCCCAGGTTTGTCTTATGTAAAGCAGTGCTGGCGCTCCTCTCTTGTGCCAACATACAGCAGGGATGCAACCATGATGCACAGACTACAAACAGGGAAATAGATATAACCTTAATGACCTTCAACTGAGTCAAGAGACCTTAAGGAGCAGCAAAAAATCTTCAAACTCTAACATGTTCCAACTTTGAATCATAATTGCTGCTATTGCAGGAGGCACTGAAAGATGGACAGGTATAGAAATGACAGTCTGTTCCCTGAGTAGCTTCCCCAAGCCATTAAAGAGCACCAAAGCAATTTCTTTGCATGATACGAGTCTGTCTGTTAGGACTGGAGAATTATGATGCTTTCTTGTCACATTTAAAATTCACTGACTTCCATATTAAATTGAAATAAATTAGTTTAGTATACATCAATTAATGTTTAAGTGTCAGAGATCAAAAAATTTGCTCTCCTCATTATCAGAAGTTATATATAATCTCATGACAAGTGTAAGAACTGCCAGTTTTGGGTTGAAGACAACTGTTCCTTAGAGGGAAAGCAAAAGCTAAGTTCTCCTGAAAGAGCTAACTTATTTGCTAGTAACTATATCTGCCTTTTTGAATTTAGTTTCAGCTGAATGATTTAACTTACAGTAAAATATGAAAAATTGAAATGTACTTTTGTCTATCTGCAGGTATCCACAGTGACTTGCTGAGGCAACATTTCCTTGGAAGTTCCATGTCTGGAGGCTCCTGTTTCCAGAAATGACATTTCAACACCGACTTCTCAGCATGGCTATGCTGTGGCAGAATAGGAATTGCTTCTGGAACTGACCAAGGTTGTTAAGAGGGTTGTGACACTCCAGGTGAGTAGGAATGCAGGTGGAAAAATACGTTGAGGGAGTGCAGATACCCAAATATGTACTAGGCAAAACTCTGAAGTCAGGAATTGGAAAGCTTCAAATGCACATTTGATATGTTTTCAAGAATACAGAATGCTCTTCTGTGGATGACTCTAGAAAGAAATTAATTCATATGACAACAGAAGTAATTGCAGTCCACATTCAATCAGATAATGCTGAAAGTAGTGGATTATAAATTGCAACATCGTATAAATCAATACAACTCTACTGCAACCATAATTGAGAGACACCTGCTCTTAAGCTTTGTCCTAAATGTTTTGATGGATTGACAAGTTTTCTGTCTTTAAATTAAAGATTTTTTACATTGTTGAAGTAAACATATTTCGCGACTATTAATTTCAGTGTGATAGTAGAACAGAGACCAATTTACTGATGAATTAGGCATTCTTCCTCCACACCAGAAAAAATTAAGGAGAGCTAAACCAGAATCCATTGCTTTCAAATTTGCTAAAGCTGTGTAAAACCATCAAACTGATTTAAACCTCCTTCTGTGAAATGCTGAATTATGGTATTCATCATTTCATTTCTTTTTTGTTATAGCATTTCACAGTAACTGGAGATGGAAAAAAGAATGTGTCACAAGAGCAAAACTGAATTAAATGTTCTAACAGTATCTTATGTTCTTTTCAGGTTCAATGTAATCTCGTTGGGCACCAGCAGCAGAACTCTTCTGTTCAAAATGGTTTATGGTGAATTTTTCCGCAGACCTGGCAAAGACGCAGAACTTATCAATTTGAATGTGGGTGGCTTTAAGCAATCAGTGGATCAAAGCACCTTGCTCCGATTTCCCCATACCAGACTTGGGAAACTTCTGAAATGCCATTCAGAAGAGGCTATTTTAGAACTGTGTGATGATTATAGTGTTGCAGACAAGGAATATTACTTTGACAGGAATCCTTCCTTGTTCCGATATGTTCTGAATTTTTACTATACGGGCAAACTTCATGTCATGGAAGAACTTTGTGTCTTTTCCTTCTGCCAGGAAATAGAGTACTGGGGGATAAATGAGCTGTTTATTGATTCTTGCTGCAGCAATCGGTACCAAGAAAGGAAAGAAGAAGGTCCTGAGAAAGACTGGGATCAGAAGAGCAATGACAGAAGTATAGACTCCTCTAACGAAGAGTCATCCATATTTGATAAAGAGCTGGAAAAGTTTGACAATCTGTGTTTTGGTGAAATAAGAAAGAAGATCTGGGTCAGAATGGAAAATCCTGCATACTGCTTGTCTGCCAAGTTAATTGCCGTGTCGTCCCTGAGTGTTGTCCTGGCGTCAATCGTGGCCATGTGCATTCACAGCATGCCAGAGTTTCAAAGGCTGGATGCCAATGACAGGGAGATTGAAGACCCTGTGCTGGAAGCTGTGGAGATTACGTGCATCATCTGGTTCACTGCTGAGCTAGTGATCAGGCTCATCACTGCTCCGAGTCAAAAGAAGTTCTGGAAGAAACCACTGAATATCATTGATTTTGTCTCTATTATCCCATTTTATGCCACATTGGCTGTGGACACGAAGGAAGAAGAAAGTGAAGATATTGAAAACATGGGAAAAGTGGTTCAGATCCTGCGGTTAATGAGGATATTTCGCATCCTGAAACTGGCCAGACATTCTGTAGGACTACGGTCTTTAGGTGCCACATTGCGACATAGCTATCAAGAAGTTGGACTTCTGCTTTTGTTTTTGTCTGTTGGGATTTCTATCTTTTCAGTGCTTGTCTACTCAGTGGAGAAAGATGATGACTCATCAGAACTGCACAGCATCCCTGTTTGCTGGTGGTGGGCAACCATCAGCATGACCACTGTTGGTTATGGGGACACTTACCCAGTCACGCTTGCTGGAAAGCTGCTCGGCACCCTATGCATTATCTGTGGGATACTAGTGGTAGCACTTCCAATTACCATTATTTTCAATAAGTTTTCTAAGTACTATCAAAAACAAAAAGATATTGATCCAGACCAATGCAACAATGATCGCAAAGAGAAGTGTAATGACCTACCTTATTTTAACATTAGGGATATTTATGCAAAAAAGATGCACTCCTTCATTTCTAGCCTTTCTTCAGTAGGAATTGTAGTCAGTGACCAAGATTCAACAGATGCCTCCAGCATCCAAGATATGGAGGAAATTTATAACACATCATCTTTAGAGAATGGTACAGGAAAATGAGTTGAATCACATTCTCTTCCCTTTATTTCTCTTCTGATTCTCGGTAAATGTGGACTTACAAACTTCAGTGAATTTATTAAGAGCAGTTAATTCTCAGGGTACTTAACTCTCAGCCATATTTGGACATTCTTTGCTCTGAGGATGCCATAAAAGCTTCATTGTTTATATGAGGCTTTAAAATATGCCTCATATGGTGGTTTAGTTTTTACACAACTAATGTTATGCATTTTTTGAAAGGAAAAGTCAGGAAAACAGTTTTAAATGTGAGATCAGTGTTTGTTTGGGTTTGTAGGGAGTTTTTTTTGTTTTATAGGTAGTTTTTTCCTCTGCAGCAATCTGGTAGCTGATACAGAATCTGCTTTTATAATTTGCTGCTCTTCAGGTAGAGATATATTACAATCATGTAAGAACTATCACACATGCCAGTGAAGTTTTTGCCTGCATATACATCAGGAAAAAGAAGGAATTATGGACATGTAAAACTGTGCTCACTAACACATTTATGTAATCTTGGAGTTGGGAACCTGTTTCCTAAGTTGGGGCAGAAAATATATTGGTACATATTGTTTTTACTCCATGGAAGCATAATATTTATGAATTTCTTTCCAAAAGCACAATACATTTTCATTTTTTAAAAATAAATTAATCCCATTGTGCCTATATTTTTCCCAGTGTCCACCATGGCCAAGCTCTATCAGGTCCTTAAGGGTCTAAATCACGAGTCCCAGGATGAAGTATCTGGTGTAGGCAGGAGAGGAGCTTATTCCATTTAGCCACGCCTTCTGTCATTGTGAACCTGAGCAATTCTGGTGCTTGGAGAGGCTCCTGCTGTGATTAAGACCACCCTGGTGGCTTCCCCAGAGGTTTTGTTTTATGGGCACTGAAGCAAACGTCTGTGGTGGTCTTTGGAAGTTATTCCTCCCTGCTGTCAGCACTGCTCCTTTGCTGGAGGTTACTGCCTCGGTGGTAGGAGCAAATGTGAGCAGCATCTCAGCTGCACTGGTTCTCAGTCCGGGGCTGTAATGCCAAGGAACGGAGATGTGTGGACATCATCTACCATATTTTGTCCATCAGAGATGTAGGGTGGGCACGGTGTGTGGGCACCCGTATATTAAACTATTTCAGCTCCTTTTTCTAAAGCTCATCTGTTGGTGATGGCAGCTTTCCTGGTTTGTACTATGGGCCGGAGCGGTGCTCATTGCCTGGCAGAGTGCTGCAGCTCTGTGCGTTCCTCTCCTCTCCAGGGATTTCTTATGCAGCCAGCTAATCCTGCTCTGGTTCAAACTGGATCTTCTCCAGCTATTTAAAAGGAAAGCCAGCCCTTGAGCCTAGCACAAAGGAGTGCTGGAGAAACTTGAGGACCTTACAGAAGTCCATAGTGTTTCTGAACACTCATTTTCTTTCATTTGGCAAGTGACTAAATGAGATGCTGGGCAACAGAGAATCAAAGATACTGTGATGTTGATGTTTTCCTTAAAGAGAGGCTCCACCTTTTTTTTTTTTAATTATTGGGCCAAGTGCTGAAGCCCTTACTGAGTTTCTACACAGGTAGATCAAACTCAGTAGGAGTTGACTTCAAGACTGAGTAAAACCAGAGGATGGCAATTGATTTTAACCTTTACAGAGGGTTGATTTTTCAGGTGTCTGCCAGGTTTTCTATAGCAAAATACATTAAGTAATTAGCTGAGGTACACTTATATTTGCTGAGGTACAGAGCTCTAACCTCTCTGAGATGGAGAAACAAAAAAGAATAGGGTGGATCAACCTGTACCTCAGAAAGAGGTATCCCTCAGTACTGGTGTGCACCAACATAGTGATGTCAGAATATTTTGAGCTTTGGAGAAACTTCAAAATTTGGCTTATTACTTGCTGAGTGTTGTAAGTGTATGTGATGCTTCACAGATAATTAAGGTTAATTCTTCCCATTGTTAGTGCAGGAATATCGAGGGAAAGTTAGCCTAAATGTGTTCTGTTCTTATTGAACAATTAACATTACAAAGATGCAATGATATAAAATATTAAATATGTATGTGCATATGAATCTAATAGGAATAGCAGAATAACAGCATAAAAATTACCCTCTGTCCAAAGAAACTCTCTTGGTAGTCTCCATATAAAGATACATTACATTGCCACTGAAGTTCAAAAGCAATGAAAAATATTGTAATGCAACAAAAACTGTAAGAAATTTGTGTTAAATAATTGAAAAAAAAACTGGTACTGAAAATTTATATATCAAGCATTACCCAAAGATCACAGAGTATATAAGTTTTTGTATTAAATTTTACTGACAGGTAATTTGTCATGAGATTGAGAAGCTCTTGATCAAACACATGAATCAATCTTAAGGCTGTGGCACTCTTTAAGTTCCTCAGACTTTTTTTTTATGCATAGATACAGCTTGCAGCAAAGTGAGGCGTATCTTTTGGAACATATCAGAAGTTAAAGCACATATCCATGTATCATGCAGTATGTGTTATTTTGATTTCCGTGGTGAGATCTCATCTTTTTTTCAACTCAATTCTGTCTTAAAGAATGGCTTTGTTGTTTTCTGTTCCCTTTGCTGGAATAAATCCAGTGCCTTGGTTTCACGTTGGTGTAGCCGGGAGCAGGATGTGAGCTGTGTTTCACACCAAAAGATACTCCCCTCAAGGCAGAACTGCAGTCCTGTAATGTGCACTGGTACGAGAGTGTGTCACCAGTCTTGAGTGGCAGAAGAAAGCAGATGAGAGCAAATACTGATATGCTGCATGTTCTTCCTGCTAACAAAAGTTTTTAGTAGAATTTATTAGTAAGAAATAAGTGCAAGAGGGGATTGTTTCTGATTTAATTTGTCTTCTTCCTTGGTCTACGGTCACACATTACTGATGTGTAATATCAATGTCAACAGAAGGTAGCTTGTCTATTGTTTCTGTATTCCTGAACCACATGTTTTTCTCTTTAAAACTGCTTCCTAAAATCTCTCCACCCGGCTGCTCTGTTTCAGACACCAAAGCACAGAAAAGGTTACCGTTCGGATATGCATCCCATTTTGTACGGAAGATATTTGCTTGTCTTTATACAAAACAGTGTACTGGCACGTTATTAGTTTCTTTGTCTTGATGGCAAACGCTTCCCTTTTGATATCTATTATTTCCACAGTAGCATCTGTCTTTGCAGCATTTTACCCTAATGTAGCATGGGAAGATGCTACTGCACCGCTTTGCAGTTCCCTGTGTGAGCAGCTTCCAACTGGCAGGGGTGTCACCCAACTGCCCGCAGCCCGTGCCTTGCTGGGAGCAGGCTCTGTCACTGCCGCCATCTCTTCAGTGTGTGTTAGAAGAGGAGAAAGGCCAATGGAGAGGTATGAGATGAGAAACGGGAGAAGGTAGGAAGCTGTCAATCAAAAAGAGCGACAGAAAAACCTGAGAGGACCTTAGAAAGGAGAAGAGAAAGAAGTTGACCAAAAGAGTCCTCGCTTGTCTTCACTGTATTTCTTGTTTTATCCATCAGTGTTTTTCTTCCCTTTCCTCCTCTGCTGCCTCGTGTCCCCTCCTGCTGCCACCCTGGCCTCCCTTCCCACCCAGCCTGTGGCCCAGCGGTCCTGTTTGTGTCCCACACCGAGGGTCTTCCTGAGCCCAGAAAGGCACGTTTCATCCACCTGGATGGCAGCAGGCAGAACTTAGCAGGGGTGAAATTAGTGAGCGCTCCTACTGTGTATGTGAGCAGCAATCACCACACTTACGGGCTGCGCGTTTTTGTGAGAAAGGTCACAATGGGGCTCGAATCAATGAGCGTAAACGTGAGCTAAATAAATGGCACATCTGCGCCAGGCTTGTAAATGAAATATCACTTATGGCTTAGGAAGAAATGAGTGTCAGGAACCACAATGCAAGATATTACCATTTAAAAGCAGACTTTGTGCCGACTCCCGTGCGAATGCGTTGCTGTCAGGGAATGCTGAGGGTGTCAGGAGGATTTGACTGGCAAATGCAGTACATGGGCTTGCGGCGTGCCAGGGGCTCCTGACAGGCTGCTGTGTGTTAATACATTTATTCATTTCCACACATTCCTAACATCTAGAGCAAGTGACAGAAAACCACTAAGCTGTGGAGAGTTTCTCTAATATTTTTTGATTAGCTGACAGTGTTTGTGAAGCTGCTAATGCCTCTTCATCCAAAAGAGGACATTTCTCAACCGAAATCAGAATAACCCTGTGCTAGATGTGCAATTTGTGACTGATGGCAGTAGCTTGGTCACAGTCGGTAAATATTGCTGTCTGGTGCTGTATGGGTGCAGTGCTGTTGCTTGTATTTCTGAAATGTTTATGCTCTGTCAATCAAGAGACAGCAGATGCCATTAAAACCATCTCAGCACTTTCCTGCTGCACAATAATTGTGGCGCCTTTTCTAAGCACAGCAAAATGTCATGACTTGCGGAGACCTCTTTTTTTAATTTCTTGTGTAGTTGTACTTAATTTTTCATGATGGGCTTATGGTCCAAGCGCAATCTAGCAGAAGAAAAAGTCACTGTGTGTCCCTAGACAAGCTACAAGACTTTGTTATTGACTTCCACTCTGGGCATTGCCCTCCCACCTGTCTGGCACAACTGAGGTGGTACAAGGAGTGGTAATGCACTGTGGTACAGGCTGATAGCTGTTGCAGGGAGTTAAGGAGGAAAAGGTAGAGCTTCTGGGGAGTGGATATAGTTTATATGTAATTGTATATATGCCTTGTGGGCAGAGCTCCATTAGGTGTGTAATATGATCAAATTAGATATAAAGACGCTTTCCCTGAGACCACCTACCTACATCTCATAGCTTTCCAATGAATATATTGCAGGGGGTGGTCTTTGCACAGGATTTTAGCAGGTCAAGGGCTCTCTCATCCACACACACATCAGTTTTCCCCCAAATCTCATATACCAGTGGGAGGGAGAGACTTTGCAGTGTCTCCAACAGACCCCATGAACCTGTAAGCCAAGGAATTGGGTTCCCAAGCTGAAGATTGGTGGTGGTGGAG